TCAGAATTCCGAGGTTAAAGTCAGAATTAAAGTGAGATTAAAGTCAGAATTCTGAGAAAAGTCAGAAATCTGAGGTTAAAGTCAGAATTCCGAGGTTAAAGTCAGAATTAAAGTGAGATTAAAGTCAGAATTCTGAGAAAAGTCAGAATTCTGAGAAAAGTCAGAATTCTGAGAAAAAAAGTCAGATTTCTGAGGTTAAAGTCAGAATTAAAGTGAGATTAAAGTCAGAATTCTGAGAAAAGTCAGAATTCTGAGAAAAAAGTCAGAATTCTGAGAAAAAAAGTCAGAATTCTGAGGTTAAAGTCAGAATTAAAGTGAGATTAAAGTCAGAATTCCGAGGTTCAAGTCAGAATTAAAGTGAGATTAAAGTCAGAATTCTGAGGTTCAAGTCAGAATTAAAGTGAGATTAAAGTCAGAATTCTGAGGTTAAAGTCAGAATTCTGAGGTTAAAGTCAGAATTCCGAGGTTAAAGTCAGAATTAAAGTGAGATTAAAGTCAGAATTCTGAGGTTCAAGTCAGAATTAAAGTGAGATTAAAGTCAGAATTCTGAGGTTAAAGTCAGAATTCTGAGGTTAAAGTCAGAATTCCGAGGTTAAAGTCAGAATTCAAGTGATATTAAAGTCAGAATTCTGAGGTTAAAGTCAGAATTCTGAGGTTAAAGTCAGAATTCAAGTGAGATTAAAGTCAGAATTCTGAGGTTAAAGTCAGAATTCTGAAGTTAAAGTCAGAATTCCGAGGTTAAAGTCAGAATTAAAGTGAGATTAAAGTCAGAATTCCGAGGTTAAAGTCAGAATTAAAGTGATATTAAAGTCAGAATTCTGAGAAAAAAGTCAGAATTCTGAGAAAAAAGTCAGAATTAAAGTGAGATCAAAGTCAGAATTCTGAGGTTAAAGTCAGAATTAAAGTGAGATTAAAGTCAGAATTCTGAGAAAAGTCAGAAATCTGAGGTTAAAGTCAGAATTCCGAGGTTAAAGTCAGAATTAAAGTGAGATTAAAGTCAGAATTCTGAGGTTAAAGTCAGAATTCCGAGGTTCAAGTCAGAATTAAAGTGAGGTTAAAGTCAGAATTCTGAGGTTAAAGTCAGAATTCTGAGGTTAAAGTCAGAATTAAAGTGAGATTAAAGTCAGAATTCCGAGGTTCAAGTCAGAATTAAAGTGAGATTAAAGTCAGAATTCTGAGGTTAAAGTCAGAATTCTGAGGTTAAAGTCAGAATTCTGAGGTTCAAGTCAGAATTAAAGTGAGATTAAAGTCAGAATTCTGAGGTTCAAGTCAGAATTAAAGTGAGATTAAAGTCAGAATTCTGAGGTTAAAGTCAGAATTCCGAGGTTAAAGTCAGAATTAAAGTGAGATTAAAGTCAGAATTCTGAGAAAAGTCAGAATTCTGAGAAAAAAGTCAGAATTCTGAGAAAAAAAGTCAGAATTCTGAGGTTAAAGTCAGAATTAAAGTGAGATTAAAGTCAGAATTCTGAGGTTAAAGTCAGAATTAAAGTGAGATTAAAGTCAGAATTCTGAGGTTCAAGTCAGAATTAAAGTGAGATTAAAGTCAGAATTCTGAGGTTAAAGTCAGAATTCTGAGGTTAAAGTCAGAATTCTGAGGTTAAAGTCAGAATTCAAGTGATATTAAAGTCAGAATTCTGATAAAAGTCAGAAATCTGAGGTTAAAGTCAGAATTCCGAGGTTAAAGTCAGAATTAAAGTGAGATTAAAGTCAGAATTCTGAGGTTAAAGTCAGAATTCTGAGAAAAAAGTCAGAATTCCGAGGTTAAAATCAGAATTAAAGTGATATTAAAATCAGAATTCTGAGAAAAGTCAGAATTCTGAGAAAAAAGTCAGAATTCTGAGAAAAAAGTCAGAATTCCGAGGTTAAAGTCAGAATTCCGAGGTTAAAGTCAGAATTCCGAGGTTAAAGTCAGAATTAAAGTGAGATTAAAGTCAGAATTCCGAGGTTAAAGTCAGAATTAAAGTGAGATTAAAGTCAGAATTCTGAGGTTAAAGTCAGAATTCCGAGGTTAAAGTCAGAGTTAAAGTGAGATTAAAGTCAGAATTCTGAGATTAAAGTCAGAATTAAAGTGAGATTAAAGTCAGAATTCTGAGGTTAAAGTCAGAATTAAAGTGAGATTAAAGTCAGAATTCTGAGAAAAAAGTCAGATTTCTGAGGTTAAAGTCAGAATTCAAGTGAGGTTTAAGTCAGAATTCCGAGGTTAAAGTCAGAGTTAAAGTGAGATTAAAGTCAGAATTAAAGTGAGATTAAAGTCAGAATTCTGAGGTTCAAGTCAGAATTAAAGTGAGATTAAAGTCAGAATTCTGAGGTTAAAGTCAGAATTCTGAGGTTAAAGTCAGAATTCCGAGGTTAAAGTCAGAATTAAAGTGAGATTAAAGTCAGAATTCTGAGAAAAGTCAGAAATCTGAGGTTAAAGTCAGAATTCCGAGGTTAAAGTCAGAATTAAAGTGAGATTAAAGTCAGAATTCTGAGGTTAAAGTCAGAATTCTGAGGTTAAAGTCAGAATTCTGAGGTTAAAGTCAGAATTCCGAGGTTAAAGTCAGAATTAAAGTGATATTAAAGTCAGAATTCTGAGGTTAAAGTCAGAATTCTGAGGTTAAAGTCAGAATTCTGAGGTTCAAGTCAGAATTAAAGTGAGATTAAAGTCAGAATTCTGAGGTTAAAGTCAGAATTCTGAGGTTAAAGTCAGAATTCCGAGGTTAAAGTCAGAATTAAAGTGAGATTAAAGTCAGAATTCTGAGAAAAGTCAGAAATCTGAGGTTAAAGTCAGAATTCCGAGGTTAAAGTCAGAATTAAAGTGAGATTAAAGTCAGAATTCTGAGGTTAAAGTCAGAATTCTGAGGTTAAAGTCAGAATTCTGAGGTTAAAGTCAGAATTCCGAGGTTAAAGTCAGAATTAAAGTGATATTAAAGTCAGAATTCTGAGGTTAAAGTCAGAATTCTGAGGTTAAAGTCAGAATTCTGAGGTTAAAGTCAGAATTCCGAGGTTAAAGTCAGAGTTAAAGTGAGATTAAAGTCAGAATTCTGAGGTTAAAGTCAGAATTAAAGTGAGATTAAAGTCAGAATTCTGAGGTTAAAGTCAGAATTAAAGTGAGATTGAAGTCAGAATTCTGAGGTTAAAGTCAGAATTCCGAGGTTAAAGTCAGAGTTAAAGTGAGATTAAAGTCAGAATTCTGAGGTTAAAGTCAGAATTAAAGTGAGATTAAAGTCAGAATTCTGAGAAAAGTCAGAATTCTGAGGTTAAAGTCAGAATTCTGAGGTTAAAGTCAGAATTCCGAGGTTAAAGTCAGAATTAAAGTGAGATTAAAGTCAGAATTCTGAGGTTAAAGTCAGAATTAAAGTGAGATTAAAGTCAGAATTCCGAGGTTCAAGTCAGAATTAAAGTGAGATTAAAGTCAGAATTCTGAGGTTCAAGTCAGAATTAAAGTGAGATTAAAGTCAGAATTCTGAGGTTCAAGTCAGAATTAAAGTGAGATTAAAGTCAGAATTCTGAGGTTCAATTCAGAATTAAAGTGAGATTAAAGTCAGAATTCTGAGGTTAAAGTCAGAATTCTGAGGTTAAAGTCAGAATTCCGAGGTTAAAGTCAGAATTAAAGTGATATTAAAGTCAGAATTCTGATAAAAGTCAGAATTCCGAGGTTAAAGTCAGAATTAAAGTGAGATTAAAGTCAGAATTCTGAGGTTAAAGTCAGAATTAAAGTGAGATTAAAGTCAGAATTAAAGTGAGATTAAAGTCAGAATTCTGAGGTTAAAGTCAGAATTCTGAGGTTAAAGTCAGAATTCCGAGGTTAAAGTCAGAATTAAAGTGATATTAAAGTCAGAATTCTGATAAAAGTCAGAATTCCGAGGTTAAAGTCAGAGTTAAAGTGAGATTAAAGTCAGAATTCTGAGGTTAAAGTCAGAATTAAAGTGAGATTAAAGTCAGAATTAAAGTGAGATTAAAGTCAGAATTCTGAGGTTAAAGTCAGAATTCTGAGGTTAAAGTCAGAATTCCGAGGTTAAAGTCAGAATTAAAGTGAGATTAAAGTCAGAATTCTGAGAAAAAAGTCAGAATTCTGAGAAAAAAGTCAGAATTCTGAGAAAAAAGTCAGAATTCCGAGGTTAAAGTCAGAATTCCGAGGTTAAAGTCAGAATTCCGAGGTTAAAGTCAGAATTAAAGTGAGATTAAAGTCAGAATTCTGAGAAAAGTCAGAAATCTGAGAAAAAAGTCAGATTTCTGAGGTTAAAGTCAGAATTCAAGTGAGGTTTAAGTCAGATTTCTGAGGTTAAAGTGAGAATTAAAGTGAGATTAAAGTCAGAATTCTGAGGTTAAAGTCAGAATTAAAGTGAGATTAAAGTCAGAATTCTGAGAAAAGTCAGAATTCTGAGGTTAAAGTCAGAATTCTGAGGTTAAAGTCAGAATTCCGAGGTTAAAGTCAGAGTTAAAGTGAGATTAAAGTCAGAATTAAAGTGAGATTAAAGTCAGAATTCTGAGGTTAAAGTCAGAATTCTGAGGTTAAAGTCAGAATCCTGAGGAAAAAAAAATACAGCATTCTGAGAAAAAAGTCTGATTTTTTTTTCTCAGAATTCTAACTTTAATCTCAGAACTCAGAGTTTTTTCTCAGAATTCCTGAAAAGAAGAAAAAAAGATATGCCCACTTTTTTTTTTCCAGTGGCCCTAATCCTCTTCTGTAGGTTTCTATAGTCGATTGACTAGTGGACAATTAACTTGCTCTTATTTTGAAACTTAAGGCACTTCAAACTTGTTTTCCTTCTTGCTGTTGTGGCAATTGTTTGTTCTTAAGATATTAATTAATATTTACACGTACTATGCATTTATGCATAGTGTTATACACTATTGCAGATCGGCCCTAATTCAACTTCGGTTGATATCTCGTTGACACAATACACACATTTTGGGAATAAAGTCAGTAAAGTTGTTTCTTCACATTCCTTAGTTAATTAAAGCTGTATCCTAAAAAGCACTTGTAAGTTGAACTGAATGAATGTTACTGGCCCCAGGCTGGCAGAGATCGCCCACGCCCTGCTGAAGCTGGCGCCCTACGACACCCTGACCATGGAGAGCCGAGGGCTGCGGCGTTACATCATGGAGATGCTGCCCATCACCGACTGGTCGTCCGAGGCCGTCCGGCCTGCCCTCATCCTCATCCTCAAGAGGCTGGACCGCATGTTCAACAAGATCCACAAGATGCCCACGCTCAGGTGCGCTCGCCCTCAGGCTTTATGCAGCAGGTCTGTTGAACACAATCCCTCTTCTTTCTCCGTCTCCCTGTGAGTGTATCGTGCTGTGCCGCTGCCGTGGTGTGTACAGTGAATAGACGGCTTCTTGGCACTGTCCTCTGTAGCGCTGCCTTCGTGGGTGCTGTACCGTAAGTGCTTCTGTGGACTGTGTTTTCCTGTCTGTGAGTTTAAATGCGTAATGGCATAAAAGTGTGTGACGATGTTTGTTCTAACAATGGATCAGTGGCAGCGTTCCTCTATGCCTGGAGTGTCCAGTCTTTGGCCATGGAAAGCAACATATAGGTGTTATGTTGTCTTTTTAGTCTTTATTTAGCTCACAATGAAGAACGAATTCTTCATCAATATTATGTTACTTGTACTTGAGAAGCTATAGACAAAACATCAGGCCTTCACATCTGCTGCCGTCAGATCGCACACATCCAAATATTTCAGGGACTTCAGTCTCCTGAAAGTCCTTATTCATATGGTCAGGTATTTACTAGAGGTGGGAATCTCCAGACAGCCCACAATACAATACTATTGTAGTTTTTAAAGTTTTGCAGTATGTTGAGTATTGCGGTAATACTGCTCTAAAGTAAAAAAACCAAACACACGTTTCACATAACTTTTCATTATCCTCGCCTTTCCAGTGGTCCAATCCTGCAAAAAACTGTAGAAAGTTGGAGTAAAACTATCACAGAGGGCCATTTGCATATATACATAAATGCATAAATGTTGGTAATAAAGAGTACAGAAAAGCTTCCCTGACTGTAGACTGGAGGCAGCTAGCTGAGAGGTAACACTGCTCTGAGGCGGATCTGTTGCTGCAGTGTTTAGTTGGCTATGTTTGTGAGCTTTGCGACATTTGTTGTCTTTGATGCAATCTTTGACTTCTATGAGCTCTAAAAGTTTGAGATTTGAATATGTATTCATGCTGTGTAATTTTGTGAAATTTTATGGCAACATTGTGCCATCGTAGGGCATCATAATGAAAAAATATTGAGTGTGTTGTGCAGCTCTCTCCATGCACTTTCATCTGAAATGTTCCTTGATGTGGTTTCTTGAAGTTTCTTTTCAAGGTCAACTTTGACCTTGGGTGCTAATGTCCCCCAAGGCTTAGTATGTTGATGTGAAGTTTGAAGACGGGCCATAAAAATAGTTGTTAACCCTCTCAAGGCAGGCGTTGCAGATTACCCCACATACATATTTTATGAGTTTTTTTACTCAGAAGTACCACTGCAGGTATTCTTTTGTGCATTAGCAACAGAAACTTAATTTGAGCCTGAGAGGGTTAATATAGGTTGTACCATATCTACCATTTTACCAACTTTGAAGGTGATATCTTGAAAACTGTCGACACTAGATTGGTTACAAACAAACAAACTCCCTTCAGGGGCAGAATTGTTTTTCCCTGTGAGCTCTTTTTTTTTTTAAACTCATGACAATGTGCTTGTATGTGGTTTCGGGGGGTGGTGGTGTGTACTTGTTTGTTCTCCAGGAGACAGGTGGAGTGGGAGGCGGCCAGTAGCCTGATCGAGGGGATCTGCCTGACCTTGCAGCGACAGCCGATCATCTCGTTCCTGCCTCACCTGCGCTCGCTTATCAACGTCTGCGTCAACCTGGTATGGGACTGCAAAGATGTTGAAAAGCAAAGTTGTTTTTCTTTTTTTTTTTAGCATTTTCTTAAGTTTTTTGGTGGGGTGGTTTGTCTGGTCTGTTGTCAGGTGATGGGTGTGGTCGGCCCCTCCAGTGTGGCGGACGGGCTGCCACTCCTCCACCTCAGCCCTTACCTGTCTCCGCCTCTGCCCTTTAGCACCGCCGTGGTCCGATTGGTTGCTCTGCAGATTCAGGTATGGCGAGATGACCCTATCAAACACCCACTCATAAAGCAGCTGCTCCGCGTGCTAATGCTAATTCCCTCGCGCTTCTCCACAGGCCTTGAAGGAAGACTTTCCCCTCAGTCACGTGATCTCACCTTTCACCAATCAGGAAAGGCGGGAGGGGATGCTGCTCAACCTGCTCATTCCCTTCGTGTTAACTGTAGGCTCCGGGAGCAAAGGTGATTTATTGGTGCGATTGGAGGAGGAGACTTAAAACGCCAATCAGCATCTTGCTCAGGGTTTTTTGTATTTCCTGCTTTTGTTTTGTTTTCTCGATGCAGACAGCCCCCACCTGGAGCAGCCGGAGGTCTTCCTGCTCCTACAGACAGTCATCAACATCCTGCTTCCCCCTCGTATCATCTCCACATCCCGCACCAAGAACTTTATGCTTGACGCCTCTCCGGCTCACTGCTCCACGCCGGGTGACCCTGGGAAAGATCTGCGTAGGGAGGGATTAGCAGAGTCCACGAGCCAGGCTGCTTATTTAGGTACAATAGAAGAGGGGAGAACATTTTATAGCTTTGCTTTGTCTTCCTCTTCTCATCCTCCTTCCTCCACAGCTCTGAAGGTGGTGCTGGTTTGCTTCGAGCGCTCGCTGGGGAACCAGTGGTATCGGCTGAGCCTGCAGGTGAAGGAGATGGCTCTGAGGAAGGTGGGCGGCTTGGCCTTCTGGGACTTCATCGACTTTATCGTCCGAACCCGGATCCCTATTTTTGTCCTGCTCAGACCCTTTATACAGTGCAAGGTAGGGGACTTCAGGAGCCTCCTGCTCCTTCAGCACTCCTGAAAAGTTTGCTGTCATCTTCCTCACTTTTCCTCCATCTTACTTTTCCAGTTGCTGACCCAGCCGGCCGATTCCCAGGAAGAGATCACAGCGCGCCACCACATCGCTGATCAGCTGGAGCGGCGCTTCATCCCACGACCTCTCTGCAAGAGCTCACTGTTTGCAGAGTTCAACAATGAGCTCAAGATCCTCAAAGAGGCTGTGCACAGCGGCTCAGGTCAGGAGCTACATACTAAAAAATTAAAGGAACAGTTCATCTAAAAATCCCATTTTATCCATCTAGTGTTTTTTGGCTTCTCGTCACACACATACTGACGTACAACATACTGCAGTCCAAATACCCTGATATAATCTGACAGGAGATGATTGCTGTGTATGTCTGTATGTTTAATTTCTTAATGGAACATGAGTATGTTTTTAAAAAAATGTCCACGTAAAAGGAATCAGTAATATAGACGGATAAACAGGGTGAACTTGTCCTGTAAGTGTTTTCAAATAGAAGCTATCAACTCTGCAGTCACGTATGGCGTTTCCCACCCCACAGCATATCAGGGCAAGACATCCATCAGCACGGTGGGCACCTCCACGTCAGCCTACCGCCTCAGTTTGGCCACAATGTCGCGATCCAACACAGGCACTGGAACAGTTTGGGAGCAGGACAGCCAACCGTCACGGCAGCCCTCACAGGACACGCTCAGCCGTACCGACGAGGACGATGAAGAGAGTCAGAAACACTGTTCCCTTGTTTTCACCAGCTATTCTCACTCATTCCTGTTCACTTCCTTTAAAGTGAACTCACCACTCTACGTTCCTCTCGCTGCAGTTGACTCCATGAGCATTCCCAGCGTGGTGAGCGAGCACGAAGCCTTCATGCCCAGGGTGATGTCACAGCGCCGTTTCTCCAGCCACGCCACTGGCTCGGCGGCCTCTCAGCCCGAGGCCCCCCGCACCACCATGTTGCCCAGCCACAGGTAACATTTCCCACTGAACCTGGGAGCCACAGATAAGCACTTATGTAAAACAGTCACACCTAGTTCAGTGAAAATCTTTTTTTAATTCAATCTGTTTAGTCTTTATCGGTTAAAAAACAAACAAAAAATGGTGGTTTAGTAGTTAGTTGTTAGCTGCAATATGCAAGTTGTTCTTCCTGTACTTGAAAAGTAAAGATGAAATGGTGTGAAGGCAGAAATAATCTCACTAGCCATTAAAAGGCGATGTCAGACCGAGTGAAAGGGAGAAAACAAAAGGGCTGAAAAATAGAGCTAACTGCAGATCCTGCATGATCAAACAGCCAGCTTTATAACAGGAAACAAAGGAGTAAAAAGGCCTACAGTGACCAGCTCTGTTTAACCTGCATTAAGGCACCAGTCACCTGGAAACCAGTTGTTCTGAACTATCTGTTTTCCTTGACCAGCAAATGGTTACAGGCTGTCACTAGGTCACAAAATTCCCCCCTGTACCATCCAGTGTTTTCACCAGTCTCTCTCCAGGGGTTAACTGACATTCGTGAGTCCTTATATTAATGCTATGATTAGTATTCCTTATATTCAGAAAAGAATTGTTCCTTTTTCATTTATTAATTACAAAGCTTTGGCAAAACATTAGCTGGATTCAGCTGTGCTGATCACAATAGTTACAGGCCACATCGGTGCCACATGCAGTTACATTAGGGAGGTACACATCAGGTTAATGCAGAAGAGGATTAGGGCCACTAATAAGAAATGAGGAGTGTCTTTTGGATTTTTTATCCCTCAGAATTCTGAGAAGAAAAAAATTAATTCTGACTTTGTTCTCAGAATTCAGAGAAAAAAGTCAGAATTTGAACATTAATCTTAGTCACGAGATTAATTCTGACATTTATCTCAAAACTCTGAGTGGAAAAAGTCTGAATCCTGACAATAATTTCAGTATTCTGAGAAGATAGTAATCATTTTTATATAACTCTTTGTCATGAGATTAATTTTGACATTAATCTCAGAAGTTTGATTTCTTAGATCAATCAAAGAATTCTACAAAAACAGTCAATCAGGAGATTAATTCTGACATTTGTCCCCCCAGTAATTTTTTTCAGGGGCCCTGAAAAAGTCCTAATCCTGCATAGGTTTTGGTGCAGTTTTAGAGGGGCTTGTGCTTACCACATAGTGTAGCTACAGTGCAAATTTCTAACTGAAACATATGTCGTCAGTTATAGACGTCAGAGGCTTACAGCGAGTTTATGCTTCACAATCAAGGCTCCTGAGTGCCTGACGTACATCTCCTTTGTAATGTCATGTTCCAGGATTTTATTAATATGTTTCTACACTTGCGATCTATGAATGCAGGTTGCTAACCAATAAAAAAATCAGCTGATAGCTTCACTCTCAAATACGTTGACTCTTGACTACAAAAAGCTAAAGTGTCTAAACTTCACAGCTATATTTGAGAACCACTGTGCTTCTATCCTGCTGGTTAAACTAATGAGATTATTTCTGTTTTCAGAGCAGCTTTCATGAAATGTTCAACTCTTTCCTGTTTATTATGTAACATGTAGAGCCGACCGATGGACGAGAAATCAACCAGTCATATTCCACAACCACAGTCATATTTATCTATGTATATCTCTGTTGATTTATCACGTTTTTTATTAAGCAGTGTTAAGACTCTGTTTCATGGTAAGAATGTTAAAAATCAAAAGTCTGCTCTGCCTTTGGTTACTTTTGGTTAGAGGAAACACCCTGGCTTATATAAACCCTGCTAAGGAAGGGGCTCAGGGTGGTGATGGATCTCACTACACTCCCTAAACTCCCATTTTCCCGCTTCGCCCCCCTTTTTACAGTGAACCCAATGTGCTAGATGAGTCCCAGGGTCTTCTGCAGGAGGGTAACCTCTCTAGGTACAGTGGCCCTCTCTCTGTCTGTGTCCCGTTGGTGCATTCTTGCATCTGTCTGCCACTGGGAGGGGCATCACCTCAGGACGGCCACCTCTATCGGCCGCCTCACTGTTGATCACTCATCCGCATCGAATCAAATCGCCTCGGCCAGTCACACCTCCGCCCCCCCACCTCCCACTTACCCGTCTCTATCTCTTTCTGTGTGGGTCTAATGTGCCTTGTCTCTATCCCCTTAACCCCCCTCACTTCCCCTTGAGCTCCACACTGACCCTCATCTTCTCAGCTCATCCGCTGTGCTATCCTAACCAGGCCCCCTCCCCCTTTTACAAAAAAAAAAATGTTAAAAAGGGTCTCAGAGCCCCTGGGGCCAGGGAGCTCTGCCTCTGTTCTTTCTCTGTTAGCTGTGGTTCTTTACAGTTAATGTGCCATCACTAAAGTCAGCCTCTCATCGGTGCCATGGTGTTTCATACTGTTTACGTGTCTATCAGGCTTTTCGCTGATCAAATTGGGCGTCCTATTGTGGATACCAATCTGGAGGGGCACGAGGGAACTGGGGTGGCAACACAAAAAAAATACAAACAATGGACACTTTAGTTGTTGTTTTTTGTTTAGAAGCTAACTTTAAATATGCCGTATGACTGTTTCATGGTTAGATGGGGACATTTCAGGTGTTTCAGGGGCATTTGTAGCACAAAAAACAAGACAAGTTGCTTTGTCAGGATTGCCACTCCAGGCCCTACTACTCCCCTGTTGTGTTTTCAGTGTTTGAATCATGGCAGCACTGTTATTCTTTTCCGTACTGTGATTGGGTGTCTTGTAGCACACTGTGTGTATTGTGTAGTGAGTGAATGGGTAGAGTAGCAGCGACATCTTATTGTGATCAAAGTTGCGTTTATCGACGGTTGGGTAATCTTTGCTTTTCAGTCCCTTTATGGTGACGTATTTCTGTGTGTTTTGCGTGAATGTGCGCACGTGAATGTGTGTGTGTGTGTCTCTTTATGACTGACTGCATCAGGGTGGCCAGTGTGCAGAGCGAACCAGGTCAGAACCTCCTGATCCAGCCCCCGTTAGGAAGAAAGCGAGGACTCAGACAGGTGTGGACATCACCTTTTTTCATGTGTCCCATGTGTCCATGTAACTTGATGGCATTGAGTATGTGCTATCTTAATTCACATTTAAGCAAATACATTACAAGAAAATAGAATTTAAAAGTATTTTTAGACACACACATAAAATAAAAGAAATTCACTTCAGTTCAGTTTTATTTATATAGCACCGAATCCCAAAAACAGTTGCCTCAAGGTGCTTTATATTGTAAGGTAAGGACCAATACAATAATACAAATAAACACACAAAACTCCAACAATCATACGAGCCCCTGTGAGCAAGAGCTCAACTGTGGGAAGGAAAAACTCTGTTTTAACAAGAAGAAACTTCTAGCAGAACCAGGCTCAGGGAGGAGTGGCGTCTGCGGTCGGGGTTGATTATCAATCAAGTTATCAAAATAAGCCACCCTAAAAATGCTTAAACAATGTGGGGATAAAAAAGACAAAGTCTTTGAAGCAATATAGATTTATATTATTTTAATATATTTTTCATTTTATATATTTATATTTTTCAGACGTCTAATAAGTTTGTTATATTGTTACAATCACTGTTGTGGTCATTTTAATAATATATAGAACTTTCTTCTGTATTATGTTCATGTTTATTATTATAAATCATTATTATTATTTTTTAAATAGATGTGGAAATGTATTTATTTTAAATAATTCAGTCATTCTTGGGTTGTGTCCCGTTACAGGTGTTACATAAACCTGTTTTTAAAAAGCATTTTATTTACTAAAAAGACGAGGAAGACATCACACATAGGCGCTACAATACAGTGGGCAGGCTAACCATCTTGTGGATTTTCTTAAATTTCCCGTAGATGCGACGCCCCCTGCTGTCCATTCCAAAAACCGAACCACGCGGTCGATCTGGAGCGAGGCTTTCTACAACGCGCAGGAGCATCCAGCCCAAGAACAAACCACTGGGTAACAGCACACATGCTTTCATCTGTCTTTTCTTAGATGAGGGATGATGAAAGCGCATCATGTGTTTTAAAACTCTGAAACAGGATGCGTGACTATCTTTAAAAGTAACAGCAAAACTCACCCTGCACTTCAGATCAAGCACACAATCCAAATCCAGACTTACAAACACTTATACCTGTAACAATACTTTATTTATTGTCAGTGTGCTGACTTGAACTGACCCGTCCTCCCCATTCACGACCTCTGTGTTTGTTCCAATGCTGTTTGCTGTACCACCTGCCACCAGACTGACTCTTCTCACTCTGTTCTGTCTCATGCTTTTGTTTCGAAATAAAGAAACTTTATTGGACTGTGAAGGTGAGACACAACTCGTAACCCTTCCTCTCCACCCTGCAACGGCTCGTCCCTTTTATCTGCAACCTCACCCAATAGGACGCTCTGCATGTCTGTCTTGCATTACCCCCCCAATCCCCTGCCTCCCCCTCTCCCATCCCCTCGCTGCCTCCACTCTCTTTGGTGGTGCTAATGTGTTAGCGAGTCGCTAGCTGGCGCTATCGTCTCTGTTTTGACCACGTGCGCATGCATGTCTGCCCACAGCGCATGGAGACCAAAAGAGGTCAGTCACCTTTACAGAGAATCAAGGCCAGCAGGCATCCACGGGGGCAAGCAAGCCTCCAACTCCCAGCACTGTGGACCCACCGGGCGAAGGCAGAGGGACGAGTCCTGCCCCATCAAAGTCCCCAACCCTGGAAGTACCCCCCACCTCTTCAGCCATGATCTTGGCTGACCTGCACGGACCTACAAATGCACAGGTAGGACCAGCTGAAGGAGGAAATGCAGAATGCTGTGGACATTAAATAAAATAAATAAAACTATAGTACTAAGTGTTACCTACATTTATTTCATCTTCTTCTTACCATCGCCATGTTTTATACCATGTCATGTTGTGGTATAAACAATACAATTGAAGTACTTACATAGTTGGTTCACTAAAAAAATCCTATTTTTTTTTTGTAGCAGTATCTACTGATTTATATTCACCAGCTTTTTGATTAGGTACACTTTGCTAGTACTGGGTCGGACTGCCTTTTGTCTTCAGAACCACTTAATTCTTTGTGGTATAGATTCAACCCAGTGGTGCTCTGGATTGAGATCTGATGACTATGGGGGCCGTTTGAGTACAGAGAACTCAGTTTGAGATGATTTTCTGTTTTTCAGCTCATCCCCTGTAAAACTCCAGAGATGGTTGTTTACGAAAAATCTTAGCAGTTTCTGAAACGCTCAGACCAGCAACAACATGCCACATTCAAAGTCATTTAAATCACCTTTCTTCCTCATTCTGATGCTCAGTTTCAACTTCAGCAAGTCGTCTTCACGATGTGTACATGCCTAAATATAAAGGGTTGATCGATTAGATATTTGTGCTAGCAAGTAGTTGAACAACTGTACCTAACAAAGTGGCCAGTGAGTGGACCTAGTATTGAGCCCTGTGGCACGCCTTTACGGCCTTCAAACCAGAATGATGACCATCTGCAGCTATTCCTCTAATTTTAAGGAGATAAAAATATAATTTTATGTCATTTATGTGTGAAGTAGCCCTTTAAAAGCTAAACTACAGGAGCAGGTGTATTCCCACACAGGTCCCTCAAGCATTAAGCAGCAAGGAGAAGAGAGAGCAGTGGGGGCTACGCAGCAGCCTCTCCCCTCCCCCATCCATCTCCCGGCCTTCCACTCCAACACCCCCATCCCGAACCTGCTCCCCTCTCCCCCTCTCCAGAACCTGCTCCCCTCTCCCTTTGTCCCGCACCTCCTCTCCTCTTCCACCGCCACTCCCAGTGCTGAGCACAGCACCCGCTCCGGGTCCACCGCCGCCACCTCCATTACCACCAACTCATCTTGCTGCTGCTCCTCCTCCTCCACCACCCCCGGGGCCTTCTAGGATCAGAGAGAGCCCCGGGGACGAGGACACAACCGCCCTGCTGCCGCGCAGCGACACCCTGCTGCACCTCAGCGAGGACGATGGCACCGAGAACCCGCTTCTCACCCCGCTGCTGTCCCCTCCTCCCCCCCGCCGGTCGCCCCGCCGCTCTCCCCTCCCCCTCTCACCCGTCGACCTGGACCTGGATGAGTCCCACGTGTGAGAGAGGTGACGGATGGATGTTTTTTCTATCCAGATGCTCTATAAAACACAAAAAGTAAAGTTTTTGGTTTTACTGAAAGTCTTAAACAGTTTGAAAGGACAGGACTGTTTTGACTTTATGTCTCCTAAATGAAGAAAACTCCTTCCTCTGTCTGAAATATGACAAATCAGAGTCACTCTCTTATCTTCTCTGTCCTCAGACTGAGGGCTGAATGTATGTTACAGCAGCAATCGACATAAGGTCTCATCTCTGGTCCTCACCAAGAGCAGAAATGTTTTTTCAGCAACGATATCAAATACCTATTTAAGATAAGAGAAAGGATTATTTAACTCAGTAATGACTATTTAAAATAGAAAATATGTCTATATTGAAAAAGGAGATGATATAACATGTGATGTGGTGCAGATTTGTATAAACGTTATAAAGAGCCATTCTAAAGATAAAGTGAGTGACTTATCTTAGCACCTTTATTTGAAATGGAGTAAAGGGAATAAATATATAACACAGCATATGTATTTTAATCACATAGAAGTGGAGTATGACATGTTGTAATCCAGAAGTCTATGAGATTTTATATTTTAGAAAGAGATGTTTTTTTCTGTCATTTGCACTTCAAAATGTTCATAAAGTCGAATACACGTGTTTCCAGCTAAAACTCCATCATGTCCAGTGCTTTGTTAAGTGATGATGTTTGTAAAGTAAACATCTTGATGTGGATAAAAACTTTTCCATCAACTCTGCTAAAAAATAAAAGTTTAGGATAAATCAGAGACGCTCAACAGGATAACCGAAACAAATTCAACACAATTTTGACTTTTTGTGGTTTTAGCGTGGATGCAATCTGAAAGGCTAACGCTAAACTGTAAACATGGTCACATGACTTTTTCATGTGAGAAGATGTTGCGCCGTCTAATCGTGCTCCCTGTATTACAGCACAGTCTCACAGCAGCTTATGAAGTAGTTGCGACCTTTGTGTTCATGTATATGCACCTCGTATTTTCACGTTTAAAAGGAGAGAAAAAATCCACAGTTGCACAGATTGACAGAGTTACATGGATGTGAGAGATTACTGGGGTTGCAGTAGTTGGAGGAATGGAACAGATTGCAGAGATGGGAGGGATTGCAAGGGTTGTAACGGCTGCAGGAATAGGAGAGACTATGGCACGGACCACAGTGTGCACCATAACTGGAGAGAAAATCATGGTGACCAATCAGGAACTTTGTATGGTAGACCCTCCCACAGCCTCTGTCATCCCAGGCTTCATCTTTGGGGCCTGGCTGTGGAAACACAGCAAAAAACCAACCAATTCCCCTTTTAAATGTAGAGACACTACATTTGAATGTGTTTTATCTGTTTGTTAGTTTTAGGAAGAAGGCAGTAGATTGCGGCTTCACCGGTAGATAAATAAACCAACACCGGTTGTGCTATCGCCATCATCATGCAGTCATAATGTCCTACCATTGTCTCATTGAGTTCAGCTCTAACTCTAAAGTGTATGTTGTGCACAATATTTTATTTGGGACCAAAGACTGTATCTTTACATAGCAGTTATATATGTAAGAAAAAGGCATATAATATTTACAGAGACACTTGTCCTGGTGTTCGTCATGCTGTTCTGTTTGTGTCTGTGATGTCTTCTATTCAGAGCAGTGGGGACGGGATGTCTCTTATCTTTATTGCAACTGTGACGATGCAGTAGATAGACGTTACCTCGTTTCTCATTTCATGCCTTAACAGAGACGTCTGCATACATCGGTTTATTTAGTCCACTGAGAACCTCATACCTCCAGGAGTATCCACTGAAACAGTCCCGCAGTAACGTCAGGTTGTTTTCTGTCTGCCGTGTTCGTGACACTCAGCTGCTTGCTGTGGCCTCCACACTCAAACCTCTCTGTGTGCTGTCAGGTCACAGAAGACAAAACTTTGTGCCATAACTCACACCAGTGCACTGTGAGTGTTTTATTGTTGGCTGCTTGTCTTTCTTTTTTCTGTGTCATGATTTGTGAAAAATTATGTAATCATTTTGGTTACGCAGAGACTCAAGTTACGCAGAGGGAATGATGCATTTCTTAAAGGGGGTTGTCGTTGTGTCGTCTAAATCCACGCAGCTCTGCAAATTCTTCATTTGATGTTTCTAAATGCATATCACGCCAAGCCTAGTGTAAAGACGCATCGGCATATTTATTGTTGAGGGTCGCTGGGTTTGTCACTCCCTTTAAATGTAATATGTCTGTGTCGAATGATGTCTTCTTTGTGCAAAGATTAAATAATAAAGCTTCACTATATCAGAATATTTCCTAAATATCTAAATAAATGGATATTGTTTACACTGTTTTTCAGCTTTGTCTGGGGGTTTTTTAAATGGAGGTTTCTGTCATTTTCAGTTCTTGCTTTGAAAATAGCTCAGCAAGATGACTGACAACTTTTTTTAAATAGGGTCAGGTTTCTTTCTTTTTTTTTTTTACAGTAGCTCTGAGAGGTCAAACACACTGCGACATAAGAAAATAAAAGCATATATAATATAAAAATGCTGCAAAAACTTTAAAAAAATCAAGAACACAATGGGTGTGTTTTTGGGGAGACAATAACGTGACAGACGAGCTAACAATGAACAGCTAATGGAAAACGTACTGACACTATTATATTAATCATATGTTTAAAACACTTTATGTTCATCTTTTTATTCCTCACAACATCAATGAATCCTCTGCTTCTTCTAAGCCTGTGTCACTGTAAGCCTACACTTGTTTTTGGTTTCTGTCACTTCCGTAGCTGGTCCGTCACATTATTGTGTCCCCAAAAACACATCCATTACGTTTTGTGATATTTTCTTCTATTTTTCTACTTCCTTCGTGTTTTATTCGACTTTTGCTGAGTTTTTTTCTACTTCTATTGTGGTTTACTGTTGTCATTTTTTTTAAGTTCCAGTGTGTTTAACCTCTCAGGGTCATTGTATTTTTCCCTTAACAAATGCAATCATTTAAAAAGTGCACTTTGAATTTACTTGGTTAACCTCTCTGATATTAAAATTTATAGCATAAGCGTGAGAAATGTGCAAAAAATGAGGAATCAGAGAGGGGGCAAACTTTTTCACAGTATGGAATTTTATATTGCACAACTTAATGACATAAACAGATTTAAAGTATAACATGCCCACTGATTAGTACGACATATTTATTATTGAAATGTCAACAGTAAAATAGCTATTTACTCAAGTTTAACTAACAATCAGTTCATTATTAGCAGTGGTTGTTATACGGAGTTACCCACACAAATAGTGATATACACAAATATGCTGCTGTTACAGCAGAGCAGATATTTCTCTTAAATAATGATTAAAAAAAAAAACATGTAAAATGTGCTCTAAGCAGCTTGGTGGGGATTAATTGTTTTCTGACTCAAGGTAATTGTAAACATAATGTTTAACTAGCTGTGAAGTAAAAGGCATTTGTTCATTTTATTTTGCATAACAACAAAAGTAATCCAGAAATCAGGCAACATTGCCATTACCAATGTGCATCATTTAATATAGCAGAAGTGCTGAAGACTTGAAAATGTAGGAAAAAAAGATAAACTTAGCATCTTGTGTCCAACATCGGTTCAGATGCATGTTTATCATTTTCACCGAGTCTGGCGCCATCTGCTGGTGCTGTTTCTTCTTGAGTCTTCACCCTGAACAGGTCCCACCTCTCTGGGAGGATCCCCTTGTTGAACAAGAGCGATGTCGCATAAGAAAATACCAGGATGGTGACCAGAGAGGACAGCATGCAAGTGGTCTTGAAAGGCCAGCGCTGCACATAAACACCATCCTCCAGAGAGCAGCCAGGGAAACGCAGGATGGCGGGAAGGTTGAACACCGGCTCGCCACACAGCACTCTCATCACAAAGGCAACAACGTAACCTGCCACAGCCCCGTAGGCATTGGATGATCCGACGAAGAGGATGCAGATCAGCTGGGGGAGCATGACGGTGTAGGTCAAGTCAGAGCTGAGGATCCAGAAGGCCAACGTTCTGCTGTCCAGGTAGGTGAGTGAGGTTCCTACAGTCCCTACGACCACTATGGAGAGGCGGATCACCCACTGCAGCTCTTTCTCTGATACCTAAACAGAACACCAAAGCTCATTTTTCCCAAAATATCAACACAAACTTTTAAGAACTCCGCATTCTGACCGACTTTGTTCCTACCTGATGCCTAACGAGGGTGTAGATGTTGGTGGTGAAGATGGAGGTTGCCGCCAGCAGGCACGAGTCAGTGGATGACATGGCAGCGCCGGCGATGGCTCCCATGGCGACAACGAAAACAGCGGTGGGGGTAAGATGCAAAAGGATAATGGGCAACGCCATGGCAGCCTCTCCTCGCTCATAGGGTGAAGGTGAGCCATAAGAGGTCAGGTTCCAGTCTGAAGCATAAGAGGAAACATTATAATGTTTAAAGTTACTGAAATATGAGTCCTCCTGCTCCTTTCTGATCTCTGGATCATCTGAATCATTCTGCTGAAGGCTCATCGTGTATGGAAGCCCCTTTTTGCCAGATAAAATATAAATTCAAAATAAAATCTATGAAAACTATTTGGATGAGTAAAAAGAATATTAGTTAAGTTTTATGTGTAGTGTTTGAATTTTTTTTAGTAAATGATGTGCAGAGGGAAAAGGGTGAAATGGAGGCAGATGATCCGCTGTGGGGACAACTAAAGGGTTTAGCCGGAAGAAAGAAGACGTCAGGTGTACCTGTTGATGCTGCAACAGCTCCGATCAGCACAGGTGGAATTCCCAGAACAATGACCACACCTGCCGCTATGAAACAAATCATTCTGGCCGTGGCCGTGGAGCTGGAGGAGAGTGTCCTCTGATAGAAGTCCTGAAACGCCAAATTTCCAACACTCTGAAAACAAAGAGCAAGCCCACAATCTACTATGTTCATTTTTTTAAGCTACTTTTTTTAAAACCGAGAGATTTTCTTGTGTTTTAGTAATTACCAGCATAAGAACTTATTGCTCACAGTTTGTTTTTAACAAATAAAAACATATACAGGGCCAAGAGTTTAAAAGCAAATCACACTCATGATGTAGATGTCTCAAAATGCCTGAGGGCAAGTATTGATTTTCAGCTTTGTCCTTGCGCACAGAGATTCCTCCAAATTTTCTGATTCCTTTGATGATATTATGCACTGTAAATGAGGAGAGATTTAAAGTTTTCATAATTTTACGTGAGTAAAATTTTTCTGAAATTGTTCTGAAATCTGTAGACAGGTTTTTGGAAATTGGTGAACCTCTGCCCATCTTTACTTCTGAGAAACTCTGCCTAACGAGACTTTTTTATACCCAATCACATTACTTACTTCTTGCCAGTTAACCTAATGTTCCTCCCGCTGTTTCTTTTTTATTGTACCTCTTATTTTTTCAGCCTTTTTGTTCAATTTGTTTATTAGCGACATATCAACTTTACACTTTATTTGATATAATCTTTTATATACAATGTTTTTGTTTTAATATAAGGTTTCAAGGACTTCAGATCTTATTAAATCATTAGAAACATTTTACTGTTATGTCATCTCACCATTGCGAGAAAATTATCGATCCATATCCACACGTCATCAGGCTCAAGGCGGCCGAGCCAGGGCGCCTGAAATGTGTGGTTGAAAGCCGTTTGACGGAGGTCGGTGTAGACATCACTCGCCAGAACGAAGGGAGCACACAACCACTGGAAAAAAAAAACAGAGTAAAGCTTTTGAGAAACGAATCTGCTTCAACTGTAACGTGCACTCTTTCTTGCGAGAGATAACTTTTACCTCTGGCGTGTTGGAAAAGCAGTCTTGTTTATGTGTTGTCACATTAAACTCACCAAGCTACAAAACACCAGTGATAACTGGATGACATCAGTAAAAGCAACTGAATAGAGACCTCCAAGAACTGTGTAGACGATGGCCACCGCAGCAGAGATCCAGATGCAGAGACTTAAGGGCAGATCGGAAAAGACGGAAAGTGTGACTCCTGTTGTGAGAAAAACACACATAATCGATACCTCTGAAAATCATGTTGACCATTATAAATATTTAAAGATACTCATGGCAAATACAGGCAATTAGAAGTTTTAAAACCTTCCAAAAAATAACAAAATAAGAGTTAAAAAAAAAAACAGAACACCTGTGTGTTGTATTGAAGAGACGGCAACTAAAGTTGAATGCTGTAGTTTGTGTAATACCAGTTTGGACCACTAGATGTTGCAGGCGAGCCAGTGTTACTGGTGAATACGCTCTTTAAGTGGGCAAATCCTTATGAGGATATAACCGTATTTAAAATATGAAGTTTAGAGGTAACTGGTAAAATGCTGCCCCCTGGTTGTGAAAATGTTTGGCTAAATTCTGCAGGGTAACTACAAAAAGCACCTTTAGGCAACACTTCTGAAAGGAAGTGTTTGTGTGTTTATATTACCCAAGGAAATCAGCGTGACAGGAACCCACATGACTTCACTTATGAAAGGGATGATGGCGAGAAGCCCGGTCAGTGTTGTCCCATACTTCCTCTGAAAGGGATCCATCATGGTGATGTAATTTTTATCCCGCATCGGCTTTGCGAAGAACAGACCACCTTTAGCAAAAGAGACAACAATCAAAGCAGTGCCGAAATTAGATTTCAGGTTATGTTCGATTCTTGTGGTTAAGAGTTTAGTGATCGCTGAGGAATGTCAAGGTATTCAAAATTTGCCTTTAAGAGAAGGGGACAGTTAAGAAAAAAATCTTAAGTAATGATAGAAGATAAGGACATATCCTGTATGAGTGGATCTTATTTTGAAGAAAATAGCCCATTTTAGGCATATTTTTGGAGGTAAATACTCCTCTGTAAGAGGTTCTTACCGATGATGAATGAAACTGATATTTGTAGAGGAATGAGAGCCCAGATTAACCCCTTTGTGGGGTCATAAACAGTCTCTGCAACTCCAATGATAAAGGCACCTCCAACCCAAGTAGCTGCAGCCGATCATACAAGACAGAGCACACACAAGTCTCACATTCATGGTACAAGTTACTACTTTTATAAAAGCAAACAGATATTGTTTCATTAAAAAAAAACAAAGCAAAATGTGTTTGAAGTTAGCACCAAATTACTGATCACACACTTCTACGTGAACTCACCTGTCATGGTGAAGACGCCCACTGCCAAGGTGACCCTCCGATTAGCCAAAAAAGAAACTTCCACCTGTCCACCAGCTGAATTTTTCTCCATCTTCTTAGATTTCAAAAAAGCCCAGATCCCAATCCCCAGCACCAACAAATAAAAGATGACCATCGTTATTAGACCAGATATATGGAGAGCCATCGTGAATTAAAATGATAATAATGATAAGTTGGAGCTGCTGAGACTTTTCCTGGTGGTTATAGAAGCAATAGAAGCTGCTCTTCAGCCGTGACGGAGGCCCTGAGTGAGACGCAGGGAGAGGAGAATAAAGGAAGCTCGCTGCTCACCACAGGGAGGGTCAGACTGATGACCTTCTTCACACTGTGTAGCTGTATCAGACTGTATCAGACCCCCCCATCCCAACCACCCACACACACACACACACACACCCACCCACCCCCCGCGTACACACATCTGCACCACTGCTGTCCAAGGATGTGCTTTGTAATGCTCTAAGCTTGTAAAGATTATCTTCACAGTATGAAAACTTCAGCAAGGGTTTAAGCTATGACTGCTCAAAGCATCATGTTAAAAACAAAAGAAATCAGTTTAGACTTGAGAACAGGAATTGTTGATCTTCACAAAGCAGGAGATGGATATACATAGTTATAAAGAAACTCGTTGAGAACCACTGAGAACAAACAGAGGTAAGAAGCAAAAGATTTCAAAGACTGGAAAGAAAACTAGTGAGAGATGTGTCTAAAGATCTCAGAACAATTACCAAGACACTTGTGAATGACTTGTCCAAGTCAGGAATTGTAGGAAAATCACTAGAACCCTGCACAGACTGAGAAAAACACCACTTCTGCAGAAGAAACACATTCAGGCCAGACTGAAATATGCTAAGGACAACCCGATTATGATGCATACTGGAAGCACATCGGCACATGAGACAAAGCTAGAGCTGTTAGGCCACAGAGACACTGCTTGTGTTTGGAGAATGAAGGCAGAGGTGTACAACCCAAAGAACATTGTCCCCAGAGTGAAGCATGGTGGTGGGAGTATTATGCTGTGGGGATGCTTCAGTGTGTCTGGGACTGGGATTCTCATCAAGGTGGAAGGAATCATGAAGATTTTGCTGTTGTCTGCTGACGGGGAGCACCAGTGCCAAAGATGCCAGCAGGAACAACAAAGCTTGGGAAGGGCAGCCAATCAGAAGAAGATGAGCTTGAAGGGAGAGGATTAAACTGCTTGTTATAGAGAATGAAGGCCCAGAATAAGATAAATGAGGATTATTTTAAACTGTGAACCATACCTAAAGCTATGAATGCTTGTTTCCAGCACTTACAGTAAATAAATAAATACGAAAAACTTTCAGAGGGTTGACAGTTGACAATTTGAGTTATCATCAATTTAGTTACACAACTCAAAACTTCGAGTTACTTCTGAGTGAGTCAAAAATCCAAGTTTTCACACAAAGTGGCTCGAGTTAATTCAAGACCAAAACAACAGAGATTAAAAAGAAGAATAACAGAATCCCCTTAAATAATATTTGTTTACTGCAAACTGTGGGAAAAAATGTGCAACTAAAGTCTGAAGTTGTTTTGTTAGTCTGCCACACACTTCACACTGTGAACTTTTTGTAAAAGTCTTTTATTACCGGCATATCTCTCAAGTGTCCTTGGCATTCTTCTGCTGAGATAGTTGCCTCGTCCTCATGTATGACTCGCGTGTTTCACCATCCTCTGGCTCTCGTTTGTGCAACACAGTTGCTATTTGAGAAACAAAAAACTTTATGCTTCGATAAGAACCCTGATGACTTGATACACACTGCGTCAGCAAGAAGCAAAGACACTGCAGGTCATGCAGATCATACATGTGCTAAAATTAACGTGTTTTTAATGATTAATAAACAGAAAAAATAAACTGATTTGCAAATAATGCGCATTAATGGTATGATTATGATGGAATAATCTGAATAAACAGACCTGCAAATCCTGCTGCACCTTGCTGAATCTCACAGGGTAAAGAAGCTGTGTCGGCTCTTCACAGAGCTCCATCACAGTGGGTTTCCTTGTGGGGGACTGTGTATTTTATTGAAATACCTGACTTCTTGTGCCTGAGTTCAAGGTCAGCTGTCTCTCTTTCACTCAGGGCTAGCGTCGTCATAGATTCTACACAATATCCTGCCAAAATGGGCTTTAGTCAAAGTCTGAGCAAGCGAGTGTTAAGACCTAGAACCCCGTGGGCAGCAGGGCAATATCAGCAAACTAAAATATAACATTTATCTTTTTAGAGTCTGTCTTCTGACAACTCTTCCAAATAAGCCATACTTGTTCAATTAATCAATCGTTTTTTAATTGCGCTGCATTGAACTTTAACACGCTAACTGAGGCCTGTAGAGTCTCAGCTGTAGCTCTTGGAAGTTTTGTAGTTTCTCTGAACATGGTCTTACTTTGGGGTGAATTTACTGGGACGTTCACTACTGGAAAGACTGCTTTTACAGAGGTGCTCATGCTGGCTGACAATCAGTTAATCAAGTGCGTTTGTTCAGCTACTCACCATCTATGGAAGCAGAGAGGGTGGAGTTAGCTTTTCACAGGAGTGCATATATGTACAGTTATAATGGTGGATGTTATATTTAACATAGCGAGAGTTTCAAATAATGAGGTCAGTGTCAGTGTAATCAAAACCTCAGATTTTTTAACTACTGTGATGGCACAGATTTAGAAAATATATGATTAATGACAGAAGATATGGTCATACCAGGCTCACAGCTCTGGCTGTGGGTACAGAAGCTCCACCCATGTGCTATCAAACCTTCTGCTTATGAGGGGCAGCCAATCACAAAACAGTTGGCTTAAAGGGAGAAAGAACAGCTCGTTTCAGGCAGGATCAACTGACGGGCTGCATAAAGGCCATGAATGTGATAAATATGGATTATTTTGAACAGTTAATCATGCAAAGCCACTCTAGTAGAGTCCAACAATGGAGCTGGATATGAGTGTAATAGAGCTCCCTTTAAGTTGATGTCCTGAGTAGAGTTGAAACTCCAAGCCAAAGGCTAAGCTGATGAGTTCCTAGACTTGATTTCACAGCATAGTACTGGTCATTTGTTAAAAGGGAAACTACTCTGGAGTTGTGCAGGTGTAGCTTCCAATATGTCTTAAAATCAGCCTTTTTCACATAAATAATAATGCTGATGAGTAGAGGAACCAGACACAGCATACAAGTGATACACCATTTATTAGATTATCTCACACATCCATTTTTCCCCATACCAGGTTTCCTTCAGTGCATTTCAGAGACCTGCAAGACAACCAGCAGAATCCAAAAACTAGGAGGATGTCAAAACCGTTAGTAAAAGTGCTCAGTCGAAGTCTCGACGTCAAGCATTGATTTTAAAAAAAAAAGAAAAAGAAAAAGAAATCAAACACACGTTAACAATACATACATCATTGCATTGGTCAGATAAGTAGGTGATGAGTGCCGTGCTCCTTGCTGGACGGCACACGCACATGAAGAGTTTACATAAGGCACCGAGATTTGAAGGGGGTAGCTTATCAATGGCAGGGTGGCTTTCTGCTCTCAGAACGTGTTGCTTTAGCAGGGAGGCGATACATACAGGATATCATGTATACATCACAGCACGGTAGAGTGGAATCAAAGAGGAAAACAAACACTGATTGAACATGAAGTACTCAAAGTGACTCCAGAAATAAGAAGGGCAAGCTCGGGGATGGACACACATTTAAAGAAAATATTTATTTACATTACAAAAGGAAGCAAATTTGGTTAAAAGCTTTCACAACAGACATTAGGAAATTTAAGTGAGTTTGCAATCATGCTGCAGGACTTTTCCAAACACTGCAAAACCACAAAGAAAAAAGGCAAAAGACATGAAGAGTGGCATAGCATTTTTTTTGTCCTTTTAAGAAGCATTCACCTGCGACTGAATCATTTAATTATTTAATAAAATTTGCTAATTTTCAGTCTACAACATGCTGTTCCAGCAACGTGAACTTGTCAAAAAAAACAAACAAAAACAAAACCCACATCAATATTAGCATTCAGCATTAAATTGAGAGCTGAAGCTTTGAAAGGAAACTTTTTGTGTTTCTAAAGGAATTTATAGTGATCATCAACAAGGGCGTACACTGACTAAACTTGGCGTTAAATTCAGTGTACGTGTTGGCTGGTTACGTGCTCATTTAGCTCTTTTAAAACACTGTTTTTTGGTCTGACCTACTTACCTAAAACTCTGCATCATAGTTGCTCACGAATGCACTACTAAGCACTTACAATGGGGAGTGTCAATGTGCAAGTTTTGTTCTTTTAGTGGTCTGTCTTCTTGAGAATTATTTAGCTTGTAAAGTGCAATTGCTGAATAGTGCCACAAGGTGGTGCCTCCTTCTGCTGTACAGACCTGAGGGGTGTACTATGAAGCAAGATGAAAGGATAACAAGCTAAGTTTAGCCTAAAGTCAAAGTCTTCAGCATCACAAAGGTGTGTGTGTGTGCGGGGGGGTTCAAACTGGATAAATCACCATGGCAACTTATGCCAAACAACCTGGTGTGGAGCAGGTTATTTTCAGAGCAGCGCTAATCTTAGCTATTGGCTCATCTCAGCTATTAGCTAATGTCAGCGATGTGCTAATCTGTTGCCATTAATAACTGTTAAAATGAAAACGTGATAAAGTAGGGAAGAAAGAAATGAGAGAAACACCCTTCAGCCTTGCCAGGGGTTGATGTTGTGTGTCCACCAGAGGGCACTCTGCAACTTCCCGCTGGCAACGTATTGGAAGCCACAAACAATAACCAACTGATCCAAGCAGACTGTAACAGAGTAATCCATTACTTGTGACAATAAAACAAGATTATTTTTGAACTGCAATGCCCTTAGTAACGGCTAATAAACAATCATACATAAACATTAGGGAAATCTCAAGAAAAACTAACCAATATATCAGATTATTTAAGTCATGAAATCCAATAACGTTCGAAGGTTAACAAAGTTGATTAGTACAACAGATGATCTGTGAACGTGTTTTTAGGTTGTTGAACTTGCTTTGTTGTACACCCCTCTGGAAATGTACGGTTGATGTTAAGGAAACCTCGTGGCACAATGCATTACTGAGGAAATGTTGCACAAACACAGCACCCACTACTGGACACGGTAACTATTTGGAACTGTTGGAGAATTTTACCCATCACCAAACCCTAAGATAGATCTGCTTACAGCTTAAAGGGGAGCTTGAACTAAATTTTATGATTTAAACCCCCCCCCCAAAAAAAAAAACCCTAATAGAGTCATAGTGATGCCACCAAGGACATCTTAGGCTTCTTACGCACACCTGGAAACCCCAGGCAACCTCTCGTCACTGGGGGAGGGGGGCATATTTCCAAACTGCTTGGGGAGTGGTTCCCAGCAGTTGCAAGGTAAAACTGATCGCAAAGCGATATAGGGTGCTGCACCAATAACCTCTTTGTTATTGCTTCGGTGAAAGGTCGTGAGTAGTTGGTGCAAAGAAACGTTGGGTGTTATCCAAACAGTCTCCCAACTACTCTCTGAGCAGGAGTGAAACTACGAATTGAGAATGTGATGCAAACCGGAAATAGACACCGTTCAAATTCAAAGTAAAAGTACGCCTTATTACTGAAAACATGTTTTAAAGGACTCAACTTCCACCTTGAGGGTGAGCGGTCTCTATTACAGGCTTGTTTTGCACTCTTCATAGTTTCACTACTGCTCAGAGAGCCATTGCAAAGTGTTTGCAGACAAGTTGGTGTCTTCCAAGCAAACTATAAGCAACATGTTAGAAACTAAAGCAGTTCTAGTGCACCTTCTTTGCAACTGCCAGCACCACCTACCAACTGGTGGTTGCCAACCTGTCTCTAGGCCTATATGACTGGGGCCTTTCCTTCAGAGTGACAAGATAAATAAATGTATAAAATGAGAGTAAACACATTAAACGCAGTGCAGTCTACAGTAAACAGTGAGTGAATTCAGTGTTCAGTATTCAGATGCCGTTATTTTTTAATTTTTAGTACTTTTCTTTAAATCTGTCATTTTAAAGTACGTAAATTTCTGTAAGCACTGCTCAATGTGCTATTTTATGTATATACTCTGGGAAATTGCCCCGTTTAATAATTACTCTGGGAGGCATCCACTAAATGTTTCTGTACTGCTCAGATCAAAACACCACGAGTAAGTAAATACATCCAGTGACAGAGGGAATGACTTCTGTTTTATCAGCTCAAATACACAGATTCAGCTTTATGAGATGTATTCTCCAGTTACTTGGGGATTTTCTTTCCTATTTAAAGAAGATATTCACCAAAAGTCCCTTTATCCTCAGGTGAGACCACAGTTTAAAAAGAGGAGAAGAAGAAGAAACCATATCCAGGCGGATCATCCGAGTCCAAACAGAGTATCATTCATCAGATCATCTTAAGGCTGTGTAAATAGAGTACCATTACCTGTACAAGAATATGTTTTCATTGACATTAGATTATTTTAAAAAAAAAAACCCTAATCTGCAGTACAAAAACTTGTACTCTTCCTGAACATCATGTGAGAGATTCGAGAACACCTTCGGTCATGCCGTCTCGGTCCTTCTCCCCCCTCAGCGTCGCATTCGTCTGTACGTCAGTGCAGGTCATGCTTGTCATTTCATAACCAACGGCCACATGCGTGTGTGCACGCAGACACACTCCGGCACACTCACAAACACACAAACACACACACACACACACACACACACACACACACACACACACACACACACACACACACACACACACACACACCTGAATCTACAATATCAACATCCAAGATAGGAGAGGGCTGAAGAAACTAGGATTTGAATGTAGAGTTTTTCCAAAGTGGCTTGTGATAAACCCAACCTTCACCCTGCAGGAGGAGAGACGAGAGTCAGTGTGGCATCACGTATCAGTGATAATGAAGCGTCTGCAGTGAGATAGCATAATTGTTTACCCTGATAAAGTTAGACAAAACACCAGACTGTTAAGTTGAGGCTGCAAAGTATTTGATTTCAACATTTTTGCCAAACAATGGGCATCAAACTAATGTGTGGAAACTCCTCTGAGAAGTTGTTTTTTTTTTTTTTTTTAACTCATGCAATTCAAATATTTTGTGTATATAAGTTGTAAGATCTTCAATGTGGCAGTTATATGATTCAATATGACTTCCTATGCAGTAAATACCAGCTGCTGTATCAGCAGAAACCTAATAAATCACCACTGCTCACCTCTCTGTCAAAGTATCGGGTCCTCCAGGGGGTTTCTGTCTCGACACGGTGCCTCTCTTCTGTCCGCTGCCTCTCCTCGAGGACCGTCTTATGCTCAGTGGCTTTCTCGACGTCTTTCTGCCGTAAAGCCTCGGTCACGTGCTGCCACAGGCGCCTGCAAAGGATCGAAATGTTTCAGCAAACGCTATTAAATACACTGCAAGTTCGCTCCTTCAACTTCAATTTCATCTGACCTGGATTCAGTCGGTCCTTGCTTCTCTACTGGCCGCACGTGCTTCTTCGTCACAGGCAGCCTGGTGACGTCGACCACCCTCGTCTCTCCGTTAGTGAAGCTGAACTCCAAGACGCCGTTCCACTCGCCCTGTACGCGGCACACCACTGCATTGGTGGAGTTGTGCTTCACCTCTGCTGTTACCCTAAACGTGTGGTAGGAGGACCGAATTAATACAAACATGCAATTTTGAGGATTTGTTTAGATATAAACGCCCATCTTGGACACTTATTTTAAAGAGCTGCAGAACTGGCAATCAAAAACTCGTCTTACTGCCAACATCCCCAACTAGTCGCATCAGATGGCTGACCCTCCCAGAGTCTGGTTCTGCTGGAGGTTTCTGAATGTTAAAAGGGAGTTTTTCCTTCCCACTGTTGCCAAAACGCTTGGTCATGGGGTTATAGGATTATCTGTTTTCTTTGTATTACCGTAGGATCCTTACCTTACAACATAAAGCTCCTTGAGGGAACTGTTGTTGTGATTTGGTGCTATATAAATAAAACTGAATTAAATTGAATACTGTCATAGTATTGCTAGTAGTTCACCTGGTCACATAGTCAAGTTCGGTTCATTTAGAGAGCACATTTCATTGAATGAATGAAAGCATCGTCTCAATGACCAAATAAGGTCACCTCTGGGGGTTTTTCTGCTTTTCAGTTTGAAGTTAAACTTTTTTGTTTTCCAAGAAACGAAGCAGTAACTGCTTGGAAGTTGTTGCACTTTGGTGGTAAATAAAATTGAGCATCATCAGCATAACAACATAACTTTCTGAAAATGGATCCCAATGGGCAAAAAGGAACACAAGCTCATAATCTGATACGATTCAAACCACATATATTGATATAATGACAATCATTGCAACCACATTAAATACATTTCTTTTACTTCTTGTTGTGGATATAAAAACTAAGACTTACTTGTGTAATTTGCCTCCATAAAAGGGTTTAGTCTGGAAAGTAATGACTGCCGAGTAACCCGACTTGGCGCAGTTGATGGTGACTTTGCCGCCAAGTTCCACCCAGGGAACGGTGAGGATGGAGCGAGCATAGGCGCAGGGCAGCGTGAAGGTGTACTCCTCATCGTGCTCCAGCAAATACAGACAACCTGGAAGAATAAATACAGAAACAAGAGTTACAAGGTTTCTGCCAGTTGTAACAAAGAGATATGAGGGGTGTACTATGTAATGTATTACCCAGCAACAATAAATAAGAATACAGTCGAATCTTTCTTTTGTCTTTTTCCACCCTGTGGTATTAATAATGATAGAAATATCCAGGAAAATACTCAACCAAGTCTGAAATGTTAGTATTGCAACAGCCCTACCGCAGAAATGGTCAAAAGGAGCCTGCAGCCCAACAAGGATGACGGCAGGTTTAGGTCAAATGGTGATGGTTGACTGATAAACAACATCAAGAGCAGCTGGATCTCACAGGTCAGCTGTACCACCTAATTTTGATGCTGCCACCTGGTGACGGTAAACAGCAATGGCATGTAGACGACAGTCTGCAAAGCTGTGCACAGCCTCTGCACAATACCGACGCACAACCACGACACTTCCCTTATTTGTCTGTACTGGGTGACAGAGGAAATGACAGAGATGCTTCTGTGGTTGAGGCCCTACACAGTAAAGTACAAACATGTCCTGTCCTACATTTTTATTAACAAGGACAAGAGAGAAATACTTTTATTAAGAAATGCATTAATAGTCAAATGAGAATGTACACCAACTATGACACCTGATACACCAGAATTTAGTCCTAAATTAATTACACTGCTGCTTTTGGTAATAAGAGGGCTTTAAGATAAAACTAAAACCAAACTGAGGAGTAAGGGAGTTGGGGGCACCTCACTTCTATTGTCAGTTACAGCTGTGTATGGAAAGGCTTTTTTGGCACTGCGGCCTCGAGGTCTGAGGAGGAGGTGAGATAGCGACTTGCCAGCTCCACAGCACACATCATGATATTGTGCACGTGAGAAGAGAGCAGGTAACTTGCCAGAACTCAGCATGCTCCACCTGAGCCAAACAGATTACTTCCAGCAGTGAAAACACATCTGAGGCGGGCCATCTCTTGCTTTCTGCTACACGTGAGAAGTGAGAACTTTAGATAAGAAGCCAACCTGATTCTGCTGACGCCATCTCGAGTTCATGTGTGAAAACATCTAATGTTTCCAATGCAGCGCGCCCCTGAACTTTTTTAGACATCCAATCGAGGTGCAGGTGAGAATTAAAATGGGGAGAAGTCAGATCAGACAATAAATGCTCTACACTCTCTCTTTATTCAGCAAAGCCTGTGTGAATGAGAGTGTAGAGGAGCTAACCCCCCGCTGCACTCGCTGCTGGTGACCGGGCCTCCTACATGTGCTCTATGTGTAAAAACAGCTCGTGTTTCCACTCCTGCTGCCAACCTCGCAGAACACAGTTTTTTTAAAAATTGTGCTGCCTTACCTTCCCCCACCATCGATACCCCAATGGACATGCCCATGAACTTGCTCTTGGTCCACACATGTGTGTTCACACACATCCGCCTCTCCTGGCATTCGGCGTAGAAACCAGACACAGGGGGATGATGGGAAACCTGCTCCGCCACAAAGCGCACTTGGTAGGAGTCCTGGCTGGAAGCAGTGGGGTCGGGGCTTCCCTGTGAAGGCTCCTTGGAGGCGTCTGGTCTCTTGGGCACCTTCCAGGAGCAGTGGAAGGTCTCGCCAATGATGGGGTTGTAGGGTTTTTTGGCAATGGCGCCTTTGCGGCCCTCGTGGAAGGAGGTGAGGTAGTACTCCACAAACCGGACCATGCGGTCCTCCGGACTGCTGCCGTCTGTGATGGTCACAAAGAGATCCGGATGGGACATGAAGTCTGCGTACATCTCCAGCAGAGAGCGCTTCTCGAGAATGAAGGTGGGGAGGACCACCTACAAGTAAAATGGACAAGAGAAGAGATTTTAAATCACATCTTCTGGAACATACTGCATTAACAAACTGAGCCTGAGGATGCTTCTAAATTAGCTCAGGTTAGGCAGAAAAATATAGTGCAATGAGGAAGTGAAAAGACGTAGACAGGACGTGACCCTGCGGATCATGGGGTGTTTACTAGAGTTCCAGCTGAGGTAAGCCAGCGGACCCATGAGATAAATCAGAAACTCAAGAGCAGGATATCGAACTACGGGAACAAACTGACACTGAAAGATAAGAGTGTCAGCGTAAGCCTCGGGTCAGGGTGTTTAAGCACGTGTCCTTGACAACTAATTACCAAGAATGAGGAGCTTACTTCAACCATGACTCCTTATCCTGCCTCAAAATGTGGTTTTTAAACAGCTTCAATTACTTTCATGGGCGGCTTTAATTCGAATACAGCACTGTGCTACTAGATATCAGCCTCATCACAGGCTGATATTTAATAAGCATTTAACTGTGACAAATATCTGTTGCTGTCTGCATAGACAGAAATTCACATTTAACAATTACATTTTCATTGATCAGCCTTCCTGTTCTACAGGCCAGCTGAGTCGAGTCCCTTCGAGTTGTGCTCAATGACAGAGACTCATTCAGACTGATGGCGAAATGTTGGCAATCTGTCTGCATTTATAAATCAGACAGCAGTTATTTAAAGACCTTTGAAATCTCTCAGAGGGATTGCAGTCGGTCCAAGTCACACTGCAAAGGTGCAGGCGACCTGCGCAATCACTTTGTGATCAAACGTGGTCATGACTGTGCAACACCCTCAAGCTCTGGGCAACTGATTATCACCACAAGCTACAGTCAATTGCACAATGTGAAAAATTCAACTTAATCACCAGGCAGCCGCTGATTATTATTTTCTCTCTTTGGTGGATGTAAGGAGTTTGTCCTTTTCAGCCATTAGCTTGATCTGAATTGTCAAGCTAAGTGCGCCCAATGTTGGATAATGTGTTAGTTTGCTTAGCTAACATTATGTCTGGATGATGGTGCATGAGATGATCCCTTTTGTTCCTAGTATTCCAAGAGTATTTTAATTTATTTAACAAGATAAATATTTGTTGTCCCTGTATCGATACAATATCACAAAAATCACAAAAATATTGCGAAAAGATCTCAAAAAGCAACACATCAGGCCACGATCTAAAGAAACAGCTGAGAAACAAAGTCAGTCAAAGTCAGTTCTCATCCCAGGAAGGAATATTGTTCATCTGGATGTTGCTTTTTCACTGGGACAAATGTTTTGTCACTAGATCTGCAAAATGACCAAACTATAGGGATATAACTTTTTCCACATAGGACCAGGTAGGTCTGTGTTACTTTTTTGTTCCTTAATAAATGATTTAAAGAATTTAAAAGCTACATTTTGTATTTACTCAGATTATCTTTGTCTAATATTAAAATTTGTCTGATTTAAAACATGCAAGTCTGTCAAATATGCAAAAAAAGAAAAATCAGGAAGGTGGCAGATACTTTTTCACAACAGATGCAGGCAATAACCAACATGTCAGTGTTAAGCCATAGTTCTTTCTATTTTCTGTTAAACAGCTAAGTTACAAAGCACCAGTACACCAGTATCAGCGTCTTTGACCGTTACTGGACCATAAGGACTGATCAGGACACAATGACTGCAGTAAATGATGTTGATCTTTTTGTGTTACATTAGAAAAGTTTGCAGGGTTTGTTTTTTTTATAATGATGCATGAAAAGCACAGGAGGATTTATTTGAAAAAAAAAAAACAACCTAAGAAGTGAAAGGCAGTGTTTCTGTGTAACAGTTGCTGAGTCAAGGCTGAAATACGTGTGGAACAATCTTACCACATACTTTTAACTGTGTATCAGTACACTGTTAAAAAATGGTTTATTTAGCTGCAGATGAACATGGTGTGAACTCCTCATTTTGGTTTATTCTTTACCAGAATTCTGTGAAATTGCATTCAAAACCAATCAGAAGGGAATCTTGGCAGCATTTCACGCCTCACTGTGACGCAATGTGCTTTGAACTCTGTGTTTATTGATACAAGAAACTCCTCTCGCTCCGGGAAAATCCTCCTCTGTTACAGCCAAGCGAGCCTTATCAAAGACCCGTTCGTGCTGGCGTCTCAGAGGGATTGTTTTTGCTGATATGGGAACTTGACCTACCCGCGTGAGGTCCATCCCCAGCTTCAGCTGCGACAGCAGGTGTAGGATGACGCTCCGTTCCTCCTCCACGGCACCCAGGTCCTCCTCCTTGTCCGTAAAGGAGTCCTCCAATTCATCCTCTGCATCTATGTCTTCCTGTTCCTGTGAGGAGAGAGGAGGGAAGAAATTAAAGTTTTTTTGTATGACTGATTTTAAAACGAGGCAGTCTCACAGAGCATTAACAGAAAACTGCAACAAGCATGACACAGATAACCTCTCCCCTCTCCCAGTCTTACCCCGGAGAAGTTGCAGGACTCGGGGCTGCTGAGCTCCAAGCGGTTCCCCTCCAGCGGGCCCTCACCTGTTGCGAAGCTGCCCAGAGAGCTGCTGCCATTCTTCAGGATGTCGGGCAGTTTGGGCTCCAGCCACTCAATGGTGGGTCCTGCAGTGGACGGGGAGTGCACAGGTGCAGGTTCAGAGGTACTCATGGTCCTACCCCTCCCTCCCACCCGACCGAGGCCCCCCTACATGCACAGGTAGCGCTAAGCTCGGCCCACCATTTACCGCACGGCGCCCCACAATCGCCTTGCAGCTGACCGGGCAGAGCTTCTGCTCCTCAGAGAGCTGCCGTCGACCAAAAGAGTGTAACCCAACTCCTCCGTGAAGACAGGTATCAGGATACTCTGGAAGCATCCCCCACCCCGATTGGCTAAACCCTCTCAGTATGGCATCCCCCCCCTCCGCCCCCTTTAAAAGTACGTATAGCAGAGGACAGATCTAATTCAAATTCACCTTGTGCGTCAGAAGACTTAATCTGATTGGCTGCTGTGGCGAGTCCGGCCTGATGAAATATACATCGAGTAACGAGATCCGCTGTGGAAAAAGTGGGACGAGTTTTCCGGCATTTTAACAAAAGATCAGCGAGTCTCCTCTCCTTCACCTTACTGTATGATTTTTAATGTGAAGCTTAAAAACAGAGCTGTCCTCGAGGTGCTGCGGATGGATATTTAACCATCTGAGATCCAATTACCAGCGAGACAGGTGGTACAAACGGGGACAGGTGACCCCATCAATAATGCAGAATAATTCCAGTGTCCGGCCAAACTAACCGCCTAGATTGGGTGCAGACACTGAATGAGCAAGACTATGATTTGTTCTTAGGATTGCGTGCCCAGTAGAGACATAAATATTTAACACCCACTTCCCAAACATCATGTATTTACTGAACTTAAAATTTAACTTGAGTTTATATAGAATTTATTTAACCCTTTATTGAACCCATGGTCAATTTTACTGGTAAATATAAAGGGTTGGTCAATAAAGGGATAAGATGGAGGTGGTGCAGAGGGACAGTGTTTGGGACGACTCAGTACCACAGTAGCAGGTGATTTTGACCATAAAGCACCACGAGGGACTCAAAATTACGTCAAAACTACAATTGACAGGTGGCCAGAGGTTCCTTCAAGTTGAACAGGTGTGTTTCCTTCCCATTGTCACCAAGGGCTTGCTTATAGGGGGTCATATGATTGTTGGGGGTTTGTGTACTATTGTAGAGTCTTTACACTACAAAATAAAGCCCCTTGAGACAAAGTTGGAATTTAGTGCTATATGAGTTCAACTAAATAAAGTTGCGTGTCCATGCTGCCTGAACACAATACAGCAATAGAAACCATGTCAAATGTGCAAACTGAGAAAGAAAATGTTTCTATGTTCTATGAATAAAATGCAGGTTTATGAGGTTTGCAGATCATTTTACAAGCCGTCCCACCTTTGTAAGTATTCTGTTTGTAGAAACTCGTGCTGGCCAAAAGCTCTCTGACTGCCAGCCTGGGTCCAGATGAACTAAACTGAGTTTGAGCTTTTAGTGTACCATCATTAATTAGCACACCCTTAACGTAATCCAGGTACTTTAACATATACAGTTCAACTTACGTGTTGTTACCTTTTGTGACAAACACAAAAGGTAACAACAACAACCCACCACATCCCTCCACGTACCTCCTAGGGAGCTTCTCTGTCGGGCCACCTGCTGCAGGTGGAGGATGTGCAGGCACTCATTGAGGCAGTTCATGGTGGCCATGGAAGTGGCCTTGAGCATCAGCAGGTCCTGGTCCAGGGGGGAAAGGCCAGGAGTCACAGGCAGGCCCTCAATGCCCTGCATCAGGTCTTTGTGCTGACCCTGGGCTTGGCTCATCATCTGGAAATACAAGGATGTCGTGGTTATTTTTAATAAGGGCAAAGCCTCACAGGACCGTGATTAACTACCTGTGCAGGCAGCTCTGCTGATTTTGACTCAGTGCCTTTGTTTAACTATCACGTTCTGATTAATTCAAGGGAAAAACATATTTACACCTTGCTGATTAGAACAAAAACCTGCTGTATCCCACTCAAGTTAAATAAACATGAGAGTGCCCCCTTGTGGACAATCTGCAGCATTAAACTGGCTCAGAGAGAGACTACTAAAGCTCATGACTAAACAAATCTCAGTGAGCTAAAGTCCTGCTCTAAAGCGCCTCTTAAATATTTCACATTCACCGCTGCGTGCCTTGTAGGAACTAAATGTTTCTTGTACTTTTTGCTTGTACTTGGCCTTGAGTTTAAACTTTAATGAAACATTGTAGTGAGTGCCAGCACTGCTTTCTGTCTGCTCATCTTGTCCAAACACGGCGCCTTCATCCAGTCTTTTTAATCATCATAAAATGTAGCACGCAACTAGCGTCCCTTGGGATTTAGCCCCCACTGTTTGTGTCTTGGCTAAAAGTTCCCCCCAATCGGTGAGTTATGACTTCTTCAGATCAAAGTGTACCTCTCTTGCGTCCATCAGGTGGTCGGGCAGCAGGGACCTCTTACTGGAGTAGGCCGACGAGCCTCTGACCTGCGACCAGCCAAACAAAGAGGCGGGGTTTTGGCTGTGCCGGCGCATGGACATCGGGGAGCTGCCGCTGCCCTGAGACGCCGTGGAGTAACTCCGGGACTTTGACGGAGGCTGACTCTGAGGAACGGAGACCAGCACAGTCATTACATTTATGGGTCAGCGCAGTGTTTCTAGCTATAAATGAGACGGGGTGTATTGCACTACCATATTGTTTTTTCAAAATAAAAGCTTTCAAAAACATTTTATAAGCAGTGTAAACTACTGATATTTATCAGGCTTTTTCATGGCCCCTGAACTCCATACTGTTTCCTCAATTTGTAAGCGTACGTAAACAAACAAAAAGTTGTTTTTTTTAAATGCCGGACTAACAGCACAAAACATGCTGAAAGTATATTATTTTATAAAACACTTTTTATTTTATTTTAGTAAAAGGGAAAAAATCCTGTTATGTTTTTGGGTTTGTTTGTTTTTTCTTTTTTTTTTTTGAATCTCCAAAACTGGCCCGAACCTTTGGTTCAGTTTTATTTATATAGTCAAATCAACAATTGCCTAAAGGTGCGTCATACTGTAAGGTAAAGACACAAAGAAATAATACAAAGAAAACAGAAAACAGAAAATCATATGACCCCTATGACCAACTTAAAAACTTAAAAGTCCAAACTTCTAATTTTTCAAAGCTGTCATTGGGCCTGGATCACCGTCTTTACCAGGCCAGCTCCGGCTCCCAGGCTCTGTGGTTTATAGCACTTAAAAACATTTTTCTTATATTTTTGCACATCTTTGCTCATTTTTCCTAAACTTGGCCACCTCCAGACCATTAAAATGGGCCCCGGGCTGCACAGCAATCTGGAGATCAATATCCAGATCAATACTGCTGCTTGCTGCACTTACAAACAGGCTGGAAGCTGATATTTCTTTACATAAACACCGATACTGTTCTAACTCTGTTGGATTGCCTCCTTTGGCACATGTGAAAGGAAAACAGGAAACTGTCACATCCGCTCATGAGTCATAGATTTTGCTGAGGAAGTTTTTACAACACCCGAACAGTTTTAATACCAAAGTACTGTCCGGCTGTTTCACTGCTGCACATTTATTGACAGATCAGCAGCCATTTAAGGGCCTTTAGAGCCTAAAGGTGTGCAGCAGCATGGGTTTTCTGCTCCAAAAACCAAAAAAGACTAATGAAAGAGCATTGTGTCACTGCTCATCAGCACAGAAAAAAAATGATGATTTTGACTTTGACAATGATGTCAAAGATGGACTTTGAAGTAAAACATAGCTGTTCATGGTTTACAAGCCTTTAAAGACAGACAGGACTGACTGAGCTGCTGTCTCTGGAGTGCACATTTCACATCGGATGAGTTTTCCAGGTTTTTACTATAAACTTCTTTTTTTTTTTAAAAATCTGCAAATATGCTAATATGCAAATCTAGATAAAGATCCTGGACATGAAGGTAAAGTACAAAGCTTCATGCATCAAGGCAGCCATACGCCTTTAGCTTTTATTTTGTAAGCACACCGAGTTTTGAGCTTATGAAAATGTGTTTTCTGCACAGTCATCACTGCTCGCAGACACAAATATCTGCACAAACTGCTCACACAGCTGCAGACGCATTATCTGATAAGAGCTTACAAAGCAAACTTTAGCACGATTTCATGCCAGTCAGACTTCCTTCTCTTTCCTTGTTGCTTTAGTGGTGCTTCTGTGGGCTTACAACATTGTCACTTCTCTCTATGCTTTCACGTGTTTCCTTACAGAAAAATGGTGGTGTGCCCGTCTACAAACTGTATGCAGCGATCACGACCCTTCTAATTTAGAATCGGTTAGATTTAGTAAGAAACACACAGATCGGCCATTACCTGAGCCATAAATCTGATGGCGATTTTGACTCATCCTTTCAAGGATAAGAATATTTCCACAGACATAATGAGTGCAATGAACTCATTGTTATGTTCAAGAAATCAGTTTGTGACATCGTGTGTTAATCTTCTCAAAGCAGCCATGAGTTGATGAGTACACTGTGGTTATAATTTTTGCTGCAACCAAATGTTGCAGCAAAAATTGAGACTCATCAGATCAGGCAATGTTTTTCCAGTCTTCTATTGTTCAATTTTGGCAAACATGCGTGAACCGCAACCTCAGTTGCCAACAGGACAAGAACCAGATGTGGTCTTCTGCTGCTGGTGAGATGCTCTTCTGCATACCTTGCTTGTAACAAGTGATTGTTTTGAGTTACTATTGTATTCCTATGAGCCTGAAGCAGTCGGGATATTTTCCCTCTCTGATCATTCTCTGTAAACCCAGGAATTGGCTGTATGGGAAAATCCCAGCAGATCAGTAGACCAACAAACCAAGCAACATTCAAAATCACTTAAATCACCTTCTTGCTGATGCTCAGTTTGAACCTCAGCAGGCCATCCTGACCATACTCTATGTGTCTAAATGCATTGAGCAGCTGTCATGTGATTGGCTAATAGGATACCTCTATTAACAAGCAGTCATCTGATATATGGGGTTTTCTCTGTATTATTGTGGAGTCTTTACGTCTGTGAAGGTTCTCAGTCTTCCAGGTCATCGTAGTCCAAGGAGCTTGGAAAGAAAAGCGTGGAGTCTTCACCTTACAATATAAAGTGCCTTGAGGTGACTGTTGTGGTTATTTGGTGCTACACAAACAAAATTGAATTGAACTGAACTACTGTGTCATTATATCCAACAAAAGTGTAACAGGCAGCCTGCCTCAACTGATTTTTATTTTTGACTTTTTTGTTTTTATCTTAATTATGCTTCTTCTTTTAAAGATAAATTTTTAAAACTATATATTCTTGACAGAAGAATGATCCAGTGTAAACCAACCATGGTACAAATTATGGTCATGTGCCTCTTTTCAGGTATAAACACACTCGGCACTGTCAGTCTTACCTTCCCCATGGCCTCTGTGTGGTGCTGCGTGCAGATCTGTAGCCTGCTGACCCAGTGCTGCCTCTCTTTGGCATCAGAGGCTGACACACACACACACACACACACACACACACACACACACACACACACAGGAGAAGAAGAACACAACCTTGTTACAGTAACTCTACAGTAATCATACTCAGCATTGATTCCTGTGTGCTTCTGCATCACCGGCAGCAGATAATGGAAAAACATCCAGATCAATACAGCAGGAACAAGATGGAAGTTAATGAGAGCAAGGCTGAGCTTTAAAACAAAGAAAAGAAAAAGTAGAATGGAGGCATCAATAAAAGGTGGAGAGCTCAGGAAGGAGCACAGAAGCACCAGCTAAAGCCAAATTAACTTAGAGCACTCATGGCTGCCAGATCCTCACCCCTGAGCTTGTACTGCTCCCCACTGATGGCATTGACAGTGAAGGTATGCGAGTCCTCATCACTCGGGGAAATGACGGCCCCCGCCAAAGGGAGCATGCCACGGGGCTTCTGTGGCCGTGACTGCTCATTGACAAAATACTCAAGCAGGCCCGCCTCGTTGTTCAAGACAAAGAACCTGAAATCAAACAACACTGGCTTAGTCTGCTGTCCATGATATGACTTTTTAATCACAGTCACACCTTACATTTTTGTTTGGTAAGTTAGAAACACATAAACACACACACAAAGGTACTTTGTCCCTATAAAACTGTAAGGTCTTTAATGCTCATTGAGATGACTTATGTCACATGAAGTTGGGTCAGAACTCACCTGTACTGCCAGCCTGTCACCAGGTTGGTATATTTCATCAGGTAGCCATCAATATTCTCCATGTGATCGCTGGTATTATGGGGCAAAAGGAGACACTCATAAAATGATACAGGCAGTGAGCACACGCCCATAAACACAGCAAGGTAAATACACAATTCAATCACAGAGCATTCCTCTGACTCAGCTTTTATACCTGAGAACCAAATACACACTTAAACACTACTGAAAAAGAGTAGGTTGTTGTGCTGTCCGGGTCAACGAAGTGCTCCTGACAACACTAAATTAGCTGCTAGCGGAACAAACTAACCTGTACTGCCAGCTTTTGGCACTCGCTCTCCCCGAGCTCGGGGTCCTGTTCTGGGGATATACATCCAGCTTGCCTTCGTTTTCCGTGATTCGGATCGTCGTGGTTTCCCCTTGCATAGTCACTAGCAACGACACCTCCTCTGGACGCAGCTTGCTAGCGCTAAGCTAACCTGTAAAGCCAGCCAAGTCTACAGAGCTGATTTTTTTTAAAGGACGGAGTCTCTCTTACTGGGAGGTCATCGCTTAACGAAAAGCACCACCGAACAGGCTACACACGCTGGACTGACAACTGGCCGATGACAGCTGAAAAAACATGGTCTGATCTACTGGAACTGGGAGTAGCTAACAGACTGCTAGCTAGCCTGATATTTACTGGCTTCGGTTGGGGACACGGTCATGTGACTCACCTTACAGGAGCGTTTCCGCATTGAGATATATAAGATATATAAAAATATAATCATTTATGATAAACAAAAAATCCATCCAACCAAAAAAGAAAACAAACAATAACAACAAAAAAACGTAAAAGAGGCGTAAATGGTTAAAAAAAATTGAGGGGATTAAAAAGCCGCAATCTAAAACGGAAATAAATGTTTTACATAATAATTTTATAAAATATTATCAGATTTTGTGTATTAAGTAACAAGAAAGAACAACAAATAAATTAGTTTTTTGTTATTTTTATACTGACTGGTAAGTATTATCTGAAAGAAGGAATTATAACCTTAAAAACATTTATAATATATTTTTGCATTGTTGTAGGTGAAAAATAAAGTGAATAAATAATTACACAAATAGGCCACATATTATCCATATTTGTTCCCACTAATTTATTATTTGATATTTTTTGTATACGCTGAACATGTGCAGACAAGTACAACTTTAAAGATATTAAACAGATGCGTTTTGTGTGTATAAATATTTTGACAAATATGTAAAAATGTTTGATAGCCAGGAGTGTTCAATGATGGGCTGAATCATATTTATTTAAAAAGAAACGCGTTATTAATCTGCTTTGTTTTTAATGTTTTTCATACCTCGTTTTTAAATATAATGTATAAGCTAATTTACGTGTTAAATTAATTAGGGGTGTAGTGGTTTTGTTTTTTAAGCGGCATCCTTTGTTAGCAAGAGCTTTATTTTGAAAAGCCCAATGACCGGAAGCGCCTTTAAAATACGCTTTTGTTATCATGAGGTAGTAATGTGACTGGCGGTATCCCATATTTCCCGATAATATTAAATAATAACTGGCCTTTAAAACGTTCGCTTTAATATAGCGGACTTGTTGCTGTTGCATGCAGTCACCTTTAAACTCGAACCTGAATATGGGCTATGAAGCTTTCAAAAACAGTGGAGATGTCTAAACGGTGGAGATGTGTGGAGAAGGCTTTGCTGCTTATGAACTGCACATAATAAGAGGTGTAGCCGTGACAGTAAGGGCGTGGTAAGAGAGTAGCAGCGTTTTCAGGGCGTATAAGGAAGTTAAAGACTGGGGAGTAAAGGACAACAGGCTGTATTTGCAAAGCGCTCACTGTCGGAGTTTCTACTTTTAAAAATGCCCGGAAAGAAAGTTTGCATCGTTGGATCTGGAAACTGGTAACGTTTTTCTGTATCTTTTTGCCTCTTTTAGAAGTAGGAGTTCCCTTTTTTCAGCCAACTGAAAACTGATCGCTGATTTGGTCGTTTACTGGTTGCAAACCCGCTGTATTCATAATCTAATAGGCTTATCTTTACCTCTGTCCTGCACATCAGAAAGGAAGATCTGGAGCTGTTATTTACAGCCTTCCTCGATTGCTTCTAAAGAGCTGTTCGTGTAGTAGCATCCTGCTTTCTAAAATAAGGGTCTTGCAAAATAAAATCCATACACTCCTGTAGAGTACCTGTACGGAGTACCTGTGAGTACCTTTTGTGGTTCTAACTCTTGGGACTACAAAGAGTTCTCCCTTAAGGGCATGTTCCTGGAAGAAGTCCAATTCCAAGCCTAAGCATGCTTTTTTAGCCTTTTCAGGAACATGCCGTACTTTGTGCACTCACTTAATTCCCAGAGCTTCAACCTGTGGTTTTGGGTTAGGCTCAGTCCTGGCTCTCTAACCTGATCTTTGTCCCTCCCTCAGGGGTTCTGCCATTGCCAAAATTATCGGGCACAATGTCAAAGCTTCCAACCGCTTTGACCCAATGGTGAACATGTGGGTCTATGAAGAAATGATTGACGGGAAGAAATTGACAGAGATCATCAACACCGAGCATGAAAATGTCAAGTATCTACCAGGCCACAAGCTGCCCAAGAATGTGGTAAGTGCAACAGTTACAGAAGCATCATCTGTAGATTATGCAGTCCGGTTTGCTAATTACCGCAATCTTGAAGCACACGACATTGCACCGATAAGATTATTTAACTTTTTTAAAAGGAACAATGCAGTTTGACATGGTTCCAATACCATTGCTAATTTCCTGCCCTTGTCCCTTGTTGGTCTTTTACATTCACAATGCTCAAATAGCATAAAACTGCAATGCACTGTAATACACAGAGATACAATACATACACATACTGAAAAAATATAGCGTAAGAAAGATACATTAATAAATTAATACAATTAACCAACCTTTGACCTTTACTCTAAAAGATTTGATATCTGTAATCAAATTGATTTCAATTAGGAGTGTGTTTCATAGCTGCTGACCGTCCATATTTAGATCTGTGGTGTGGTATTTTACAGTTATGATTCACAATCCTCCTCTTACTGTTTTGTTATTGAATGCAACTAGAAAGACATCCTGGGGCCAGACTATTTATACACTCGAAAACTAATTTAAGAAAATACAAATGAGTGCATTATATTTCATTAAAATGTGAGAATAATGCCACCAAACTGGCTTTTGAGACATTATTTGCAGTCTTTGGTTGTATAAAGTTACCACATGCTTAATTATAGATCATTAAACTTGAGTTCAAACTGTCATAGAATATGAAAAATTAGAAAATATCATGGAATCTATAAATAACTAAGCTGCTGCAGTGGGTATGCAGTGTCATCTTTAAATAGTTCAGATTACGGTGCGCTCCTTAATAAGTTGGAGGTCAGAAATGTATTCTATGGAACACCCACCTTACTCGAACTTCCCACTCGGGAAGTCAGCGCAGACCAACATACCCAAAGTTACTAATCCAAGATGTTGGCACTGAACCTAAACTGTAGTAAAACTGTAAACTTTTAATCTGTGCTGTCACTGTTGTGTGTTTTTTGACTCACTCAGAGCACTTCTCAGGCTCTGTTTATGGCTGTGTGTTTTAAGTGCAAAAACATAAGAATTATGCTGAATTGCTAGTGATGTCTGAATAGCTCCACCTTGATAAGAATTTTTTTCAAACCTGTTCTTCCTGTTTTTTTTGGTTTTTCTGGAACGTGCTAACTCAGGAGAGACATAATTCCCAAGTTCCAACATCAAGTTCCAAGTGGAACGCTGCATTAGTCATAATTATCTTTGCATTATTCCTTACATGCTTATTAAATATTTACCAACGTTAATGAAAAACGATATACCGCAGATACATACTGCCGTAAATTAGCATTAAACTAGTATATATATATCAGTGTACAGTGATATATACGGTTGTGGTCAGAAGTTTACATCCACTCGTCATGGGCATGAATATCATGGTCATTTGGGGCTTTTAATGATTTCTCTGACCTGCCGTTTTTCCAGAGTGGATTGAGTGTACAGCATACATCTTTAATCACTTAAAAAAAAGAATTGGGTGAAAAGTTTGAATTTATTTGGATTTTATACAGGGTCTGTTAGTCATGATTGATCATTGGTGATCATGACTGGGCCTTGGCTTTGTTAAGAATTTGTACAACCCTCAGCAACACATATTAAAAGATTTAAGTGAATACATGTATATATTTAAGTCTGTATGTATACTTTTGATCCTGTGTGGGTTAGAGGAAATCCAAAATGAAGTGTCTTGCATACTGGCACTGTATGATTTGGTTCTGTATGAGGACTAACATGCTGTTGTCGGCTCACTAGGTGGCTGTTCCAGACATCACAGAAGCTGTTAAAGGAGCAAAGATCCTCGTCTTTGTAATCCCGCACCAATTCATTGGGAAACTCTGTGATCAGATGAAACCTCACATCGCAGAGGGAGCTATCGGGATATCACTCATCAAAGTAAGACCCTGTGACTGTTCATGTCACATTTTCTGCCAGCATAAAAGGGGAAACAGTATCCTAACCACAGCTTCTTATTTTTCTGCGGTCATGGCATCATGAGTTTTTTGTATATAATACAATATAATACAGAGACAATCACATCCTGTATGTGTCACCATCATCTCAAGGCCAAAAGCCCATTCAGGGTAGAGGTTATGTTTTAAATTGTTGATTATTGTCATCCAGGGCATTGATGAGGGACCGGAAGGACTGACGCTAATCTCAGACATCATCCGAGAGAAACTACAGATTGACGTCAGCGTCCTGATGGGAGCCAACATCGCCAGCGAGGTGGCGGATGAGAAGTTCTGTGAAACCACCATCGGTTAGATACTTTGTACAGCACATGTGTAGATAAGTTGCAGAGGAGGTTTTGTGGTGGTCAGACAAGCTAGTGCACAGTTACTTCCTGTTTTAAGTGTTGCTGGAGCAATTTAGCACTCTATGTTTAATAAACTTCATTCACTACAGGAGCAAGAAATGAGGCAAACGGCCACATCTTCAAAGAACTGATGCAGACTCCCAACTTTCGCATCGCTGTCGTGCGGGAGAGTGACACAGTGGAGCTCTGTGGAGCCTTAAAGGTAAACGGATGTTTCCATAGTCAAATTCTCCTTGTATAATGGAAAACCTTAAAATGTTTGCACCCTTCCCCTCATGCATTACTAGAATATTGTGGCGGTCGGCGCTGGATTCTGTGATGGCCTCGACTGTGGCGACAACACCAAAGCGGCGGTAATCAGGCTTGGCCTGATGGAAATGGTTGCCTTTGCCAAAATTTTCTGCAAAGGCTCAGTGAGCTCTACAACCTTCCTGGAAAGCTGCGGCGTGGCCGACCTTATCACCACTTGCTACGGAGGACGAAACCGGAAGGTCGCAGAGGCCTTCGTCAGAACGTCCAAGGTGAGTCAGAGAGGACAGTCCATCGCAATTATTGTTTTTCAAATAAGAGGAATATAAGTTACAAAAATCCAAATCCAAAGGGTAACTAAATGTTAATTATTACAATGTAAATCAAATATCTACTATTAGTATTAAGAGGAAAAAATCAAAGTTATTGAAGTGCACTACTGTGCAGTTTCAAAGGTCTTTTTTATATAAACATTTAGCTTTAACTGTTCAGGAATTACAGCTTTTTTCTTTTTACACATAGTGCTGCATTTTCTGAGAC